TAGAAATGTGCTTGTCATACAGAACTGAGACTGAATGACTTCAGCAATTCATGTTACTGTATACAGGCGGCCATGCTGAAAATGGCTTCTCTCAGCACAGAAGGCCACAAGCTGTCTAAACTAGAAACACAGCCTAAACAACAGAATCAGTATATCTAAAACAGATTCAGTATATCTCGAACAGAATCAGTACATCTCAAACAGAATCAGTGTGTCTCGAACAGAATCAGTACATCTCGAACCAAATCAGTACGTTTTGAACGAATCAGTGTGTCTCGAGCCAAATCAGTACATCTCAAACAGAATCAGTATGTCGAACAGAATCAGTACGTCTTAAACAGAATCAGTACGTCTCAAACAGAATCAGTATCTCTCAAATAGAATCTATATATCTCCTTAGCAGAATAATATATACCATTTAGACATGACAGCATGGATCAAGGCTAATCAATGTCTTTGTATTCTGATAGCATGTTAGTGTCGGAAAATGTGATATTGCAATTGTCACATGTATTATACACCAATAAATCATTGTAATGGGTTATATGTTGCAGGATCATTAAACTCTTTTTCTTTCATGCAAATATGTATTTAGAGAAACCCGCGCACACACATACAGATAGAGTTTGTATGACGATGACAATAAACTGTGTATTACAGGAAATGAATGACATTGAGGTGTTCATCATAATATCATAACTTTATAAACATTTAACACAAAAGTCTTAAAGGAACATGCCAAGCATGTTGCAGTGGTTATAGTGTAAGTAGTCACACTGTTTGGTGCTGGTTTGACTTGTTACCTAGGGTTAGCCAGACACTGATTCCTGCCCTTATCATTCTAGTCTGAGAGAGGTCAGCTCATTGGCTGAGGGTGTCAGTTAATTGTGTGCTGTAGTGTTGATGGTGCTTGGAGTGTCATGTTAAGGAAGTGTAGGTATTAATGGTTGGTGTTTATGTAGCGTATGTGTTAATGCTTAGTGTAGAGTACTGTAAGGCTTAAAGAGAGGTGTTCACTGTTCATGCAGCACTGACACACATATCCAAGTACTGCCTGAGATTAGTGAGAGATACAGTCATGCCAGTAGCTATCTCAGCTGCTGCTCCCAATAATATTGGGCAGACCTGTATGTTCCATTTCTAGGTTAGGCCCTGTAGTGCACAGTTTGTAATCAGAGAGAGGAATGAGTTTGATGACAAGATAAAAAGATTACTCAGACACAGAGATGGAAGCATTTTGCAATGCCATACTGCATTTTCATAGGGCATGGTGCTCATAAAGCTATCTGCCTTCAGTGAAATAAAATAACAAATATTATATATAATAAAAACAGTGTTGGACTACCATAAAGTGGCTTAGTTGACCACCAGTGGTCCCTTGTTTGGGCCTGAATCTCTGGCTTAGACTGTGAGGGAGCCATGCCACTAGGCCTGAGCCCCCTCACCTGCATGAGGGATAGTTGTGGTCTGTACCAGGGTTATGGTCAAGTGCGGATCACTCTAAGAGCTCCCACTGAGCTTCTCAATGACTCAAAGCTCTGCAGCCAACACTCAGTCATTTATTGAGCACTGGACCTGATTTTGGTGTAGATCACAATGCACCCCCCTGGACCATCAGGGATCCAGTACAGGGTGCCCTCCCCTGTATTGGTACTGACCACCAGGGATCCAGTACAGGGTGCCCTCCCCTGTATTGGTACTGACCACCAGGGACCCATAACAGGGTGTCCTCCACTGTACTGGTACTGACCACCAGTAAAAGAAAAAAGCCCCCTCGTTCCAAAAAAGAAAATACTTAGACCACTCCACAAGCAATAACAGCCTCCTCCACACACACAACACTCACTAAACACACTCTTACACATCAGTCAGTCTCCACACCCCACCCATTCACGCATACAACATTAAACCAACATACACACAGAACAGAAGACTTGGGAGGGGGGAAAGGGGCATCTGGGATCACTCCTAAGGCCTCGAGCAACCTTAATGTGGCTCTCAATAAAAATTACCTTACATTATATACAAAATGCTGTTACAATAATCCCTAGAATTTACCCACTAAGCCCATAAAATATTATTAAAATATAATATATATAGATGCATTGGAGCAAATTATTTTTACAGGAGACACAAATCTCTCCACCACAGCTGTTTTCCTTCTGTTAAGTGGGGGAATATATCGGGTTATAATATCATAAAGCAGTACCCTTAGGCACAGTGACATAGAATGAGGCAGCTCCCTGCTTCTCTGAGACATATATTTACAAAGTGAAGAGTCAATAAATATATACTTTGGTAATATTTACACCACAACTTGCTGAAGTGGTTATTAAGCTTTAATACTGTATGTGCAGAGTTTCAGCATGAAAAACTACTAATCTGAAGTTAGTAGACATTTATATAACTCCACCTCCAGCTCTTGTCAATCACACAGCTACAACTGTTGTTCCTGTACTGATTATATCACTGTTATCCAAGTTTTGAGTGTAGTGACTACACACAGCACAAACAGTCTGAGGCAAGCTCTCTCCCAGGAGAGTGAGTTGAGATACAGGTTGCTAATGGGTGGCCTTCAGCTCTGCCAAGAACTTAATATAGCCAGTTCACTAAGCAGTTATATGGCTGCTATCAGTTTACAAAGTAGTTTGACTCAAACTGCAGGCAGATTAACTAAACAGTGTACAGTAAGGAAACTATAAAGAAACTTTTTTAAATTTTATTTCATGTATTCTCTTTCAGAATGCATTGATAATAGGTCATTTTTAATCTTTAATATGCATGTTCATTACCCATGTGTTTGCAATGTCCCTTTGAGCAGTAAAGTAGCCAGCATGGTTTAAAGAGTTATATCAATGTAACAGAATAAAAAATTTCACCCACACCTTCCAGATGAACGGCTTGTAAAATCTGTGGCAGAAATGGTGAATGTGGCAAAAGCCACTTCGCTACTGGGGTTTGGAGGGGACTACTTGCCAGCCTTTTACCCTGTGACTATGGCCCCTTTAATTTATTGTGGTCCTCAGCGTCAGCTAGGAAGCATCTGTTGGCGGAGGTGCCCAGTCGGGGTGCCAGGCGGTCCGTCACAGTGAAGAATATACAAACACCAGAAACAGCAGAAATGAGACATTCTGCAACTTACCTACTTTGGCCCAAAATGTGTAGTGTCTCCACAATTCCCCATTTAGCGAATAAATCCCAGTATGACATAACCATTTGTTCACAATATACATTTTCCATGCTTCGTGAATATTTATCAGTCTAATACTTTTAAATAACAGCTGACTTTGAACTTTTGACTATCACATTTAGAACGTGTTATGAGAGATATAACTTTATAGATTACAGATCATTTCTGCAAAGAAAACTATTTATCTAAATACATGTTTCATCATGTTTGTTGATATTCTTTTTAAATTTATGCGGGGTTATTCACTAGGTGAGAATTCAAAGTGAATTAAGGACACATGACATGTGTGACATGTCATGATTCCCTTTTATTCCAGAAGTTTGGTCCTTAAAGGACCACTATAGTGCCAGGAAAACATACTCCTTTTCCTGGCACTATAGTGCCCTGAGGGTGCCCCCACTCTCAGGGTCCCCCTCCCACCAGGCTCTAAGGGCTGGAAGGGGTTAAACTTAACTCTTTCTCCAGCGCCGGGCAGGGGACTCTCCTCCTCCTCCTCTCCTCCTCCTCAGCTGAATGCACATGCGCGGCAAGAGCTGCGTGCGCCTTCAGCCAGTCAATAGGAAAGCATTCTCAATGCTTTCCTATGGACGCTGGCGTCTTCTCACTGTGAAAATCACAGTGGGAAGCGCGGAAGCGCCTCTAGCGGCTGTCAATGAGACAGCCACTAGAGGCTGGATTAACCCATTTGTAAACAATGTATGTTTACAGCAGGCAGGGTTAATCCTAGATGGACCTGGCACCCAGACCACTTCATTAAGCTGAAGTGGTCTGGGTGCCTATAGTGGTCCATTAAGGGGTTAAAGGAATACTTTAGTCACCAGAACCACTACAGCTAAATGTAGTGGTTCTGGTGTCTATAGCCTGTCACTGCAGGCTTTACAGTGTAAAACATTGCCTTTTCAGAGAAAATTCTCAGTTTAGTGAATAATCCTTATAGAGGTAAATTACCCCTCTCCTCGGATCCCATAATTAGAACACAACTATTTTACAAACACTTTATTATATGAGAAAAGGGGGGGCTGCAAAATGTAGAAAAAATAAACTACTATGCAGCAAGATAATGTAAAAATGTCAGCTAGAGTTTATATCTCAGCTCAGGTATATATTCACCATATAGCTCAGTCTTAGTAAAGGGAGTATTTACCAGATATTAAGATTAATGAATAGGCAGTCACATAGTTACTATCTGTACACTAATACAATGTTCAACACAAAACCTAAAAAGCTAAATGTTTTATTTTGTCTACCCCATATATCTTTTAATCCTATATTGTCATTATTTTAATTTAAAACCACAAGTATGCCTGTATTGTCCATATCTTACATTAGGTAACCCAGTGCAAAAATATACAACTAGCTGTTTAATTAAAAATATTTTAATTTAGAGTTCAATGTCAAAATCATAATGTTATAAATACCTCGAAAGGACAAAATGTGCAACAGGGTGCTGATCAAAAACATTTCTAATATACAAAACACAGCAGTTGGCATACAGCACTTTTCCAAGATTGTCTTTCTGAACAGTTTCAATTAAGTCAATATACAAAGAGGTAACAGGGAAAAGGAGGTCTTATATTGAACCGAAAAAATGGTCCTCAGATTTGCACACAGCAAGATGAAATGCAAGTTCCAACCTCCTTCTAGTGTCTCTTGAGCAGAACTCCACATTCGGTATGACAGTTAGAGTGTTCCAATGCTTTAGAACCTTCAAAGTTTGTTGGTCTCCACTCTCCAGGATTCTTGCACTCATTAGTTCATCAGAGTCCAGCTCTAAAAGGATGGAGACAGTACTGCCAGCTAGTTCTGGACGCTATGTCTCCTTGGTGGTGTTGAGAATGTTGGTGAGCTCCTCGATGTAGGAGATAGTGCACCTTAGTGTCTGGATCTTGGTTAGTGGTTGTCTGCCCTGGCTGTAGATGGGTGGTAAGTTGCTGCGCAGGTTATGAAGAGCATCAGCTATAGCCCTCATCCTCATCTTCTCCCTCTCACTTGCCTTCCTCCTGCGTTGTGCTGTCACTGTGGATTCAAACCCACGTTCACGCCTGGGGTGTCCTCTCCCCTTAGCCATGTCATATTGGCAATGGGAAGAATTGGGGAGTAATCTGTAGGCCAACACATCATCAACGAAAGCCATCTCCTCCAAGGTTGATGGGTGAGAGCAAGCTGAGTAGGGGGACTCAAAAGAAGCAACAGGAGACAAACTATGGGGAGATGGAGTTGGGCTCAAGGAATTATTTTCACCATTGTTCTTCCAATCCCAAGAAGAGGACATGTAAGCAGAATCCGGATCAGAGTCTGAGCACACTGCATAGTCCTCCTCTATCTTGATCATGGCTTGGTGTAGAGTCTCCATGAGTAGATAAAGGGCAGAAGACCCTCTCCCAAAGTGCAGGATATATTGTGGTCTACTGCAGGTATTGGAGCAGCAATGGACACCTTGGCTGCTGACAATTGAAGACTCTTTTCTGTGTGGGGGGTGGGGGGAGACACTTTTATAGAGACCTGCCAGATTTGAAGTGGGTGTTTTAAGGCAACAGTTCAAAGGAGACAAGAAAGTGTCAAATTCGAAAATGAAGTGCCACACGTGTTACTTTCCTCTCATTGAGAATTATCAGCCTTCAGCTAAACAGTCTTATAAAAACAGACAGGGTGATGAGAAGATGGGGGAAGGGGATACACTTAGGATGCAAATTAACTTGTTAGACATTAGTCAACGATTAAATGCCTTTTTGTTCCCCAGTTAATCCCTTCCCTACATGAAAACGTTCAGAGAATGAGACAAGTTGTATAATTGCAACAACTAATTGACTTCATAAAAATAACATTTACCTCCCAGCTTTTCAAGTTCTCTGATAGACTTATACAAAACACACTGGGGAAGTCATGCAATGTACTTTTTATAAATAGTTACAAATGAGATTTTTATTTTATTTGTATCCAAAAACAGTAAAGTTTTTTTATTGTTTGCAACAGACTATACATTTAAAATCCAGTATGTGTTTTAAATAGATTTAACACACTTAAACTCAATACAATTTAATTCCAAATGTAACAGCTTTTCTGTTTTCATTAGAAATAAATTGCTGCCAAGCTTACATTCATATTGGGTGTAATGGTGCTGTAAAGTGGATGCCATAACTAAGTTCTTTCATTTATATTAATAAAAGAAACAATGAATATTAATAGCAGTATTGTTGTCAAGTTAGTGTAGGTTTACAGAAAATAAAGACTAGAGCAAAGGATTGTGGGTATGTCAAGATTGCGTCTAGTCTATAGTCTTTATTAGACAGTGGTAATGACAATATGTTTTCTGGTGTTACTAAAGACTCAATCATTTAAAATATATTTTGGGCCCCATTAATAAAATCAGTACCATTTTAACATGCCCCCATTCATAAAACTGCAGCTTTATCACAGCATGCAAGAGTATGGCTTTATCATATCACAAGTCACACATGAGCAGTTATAGGTTTTACAAAGGGGTTTGTGTATCTTTGCCTAACTGTAACATTGGGCACTATCTGTAGGAAGCCAGACATAGGGAAAAACATAGGGCAAGTATTTGGGGGTACATTGGGTTATGGAGCCCTCTTTATTCAGCATCCAGGTTTACAGTTAGTGGGATACACCTGATTTCAAGACTGTAATTTCCATCAGTGTGATAGGAGTTACAGTACCCAGTATTGTCAATGCTTACACTAGGATAGAGCAGGTTTTTTTTTTTACATTCTCTGAATGTAAAAACAAAATCAGAAGTAGTCCTTCCACCTTCTCGTGTAGCCCACATTTCTCGTATCCCATCTTTTTCGCCTTTCTAGTTTACACTTATAAGCCACAACAATAAAACTACTTGCATATCGTGTAGGTCTCCCTCGTGTTGCCAAAATAGCTCTCATGTGCCGAAGCACGGATTTCTCTGAACGCATCCTGTGGTATCTAGCACCAAGACCTGTGCAGCAGATCCTTTAAGTCCTGCAAATTGCAAGGTGAGGCCTCCATGGATCGAATTTGTTGTTCCAGCAGATCGAGATCTGGTGGAATTTGGAGGCCAAGGCAACACCTTGAATTCTTTGTTATGTTCCTCAAACAATTCCTGAATAAATTTTGCAGTGCAACAGGGTGCACTATCCTGCTAAAAGCGGCCACTGCCATCAGGGTACACCAATGCCATGAAGGAGTGTACGTCCACATGGTCTGCAGCAATCTTTAGATAGAAACATAGAATGTTACCGCACATAAGAACCATTCAGCCCTCCTAGTCCGATAGATAGACAGACAGACAGATAGATAGATAGATAGATAGATAGATAGATGGTAGACATGTGCAATTCGTTTCGGTCCGAATGTGAATTCGGATGAATTTTGGGAAATTCAGACATGCGGGTACATGAATGCCAGGACCTAAGGTTTCCCAGCAGAACATTGCTCAGAGCATAATACTGCCTCCGCCGACCTGCATTCTTCCCATATTGCAACCTGCTGGGATATTGCATCCTGCTGGGAGGGTCTGGGAGGGAGGGTCTGCTGCTGATTGGCTGGAATGTGTCTGCTGACTGTGAGGTACAGGGTCAAAGTTTATGTTTATGTTCGCTGTCTGCGGCGAACCGTTCGGGACATCACTATTAAAGGATAATGTAACTTGAGTAAGCAAAGAAAGCCCCAGACACAGTCCAGAGTGTTTTGTTAGGGAGTAAGCCAATTTTTTTCATTCACTAGTGTTATGAGAGTAATAACAGACAGCGTTGGAAGGAAGGAATCTACAGTTTTCAGGTTTCTTGCTATTAACATTTTTAACATTAGAACGATTAGGCTGACCTGTGTCCTTTGGGCATTAAACAGCTATTTAATATATAGAAATAAAGTTCAAATAATCTTGTCCAGTAATTAACAACTTTTGGGAAATCCCACCATGTATGTAAAGGGGACTTGACTTGTCTTCAAGCTCTCTGATGTTTTGTGGCGCAATGGTGTAAAGTACCATTTAAATAGTATCTTGTGGTTACACTCTTAATGGTTTAGGCAACCTACACTGTTGTGTAATATAGTTTGTAAAGCAGCTACCTTGTTCTCTTTCCCGATCTATTTTACATAACACTATAGGCACCCAGACCACTTCAGCTCATTGAAGTGGTCTGGGTGCAATGTCCCTTTTGCACTTAGTGCTGCATTGTATAACATTGTAGTTCCAGAGAAACTACAATGTTTACATTGCAGCACTAAGCCTGCCCACAGTGCCTGTCTCCCAGACAGCCACTGGAGGCGCTTCCTGCATCCAAATAAACCTTTGGTCTGGTAACTGACACTGGACGTCCTCACTGGACGTCCTTTGCATGAGGACATCCAGTATCAGATTTAATGCGCGCACAAAATTTTCCGCGGATTAGTACCCGCCCATTGTGGGATGTCAGAGGGGGCAAGCGTAGACCCAGAGCCAAGGGACATCGGTGCTGGGATAATGTAAGTAAAAAAAGAGTTTTTAACCCTTTATTTACCTGGGCAGGGGGCCCGAGGGAGGGGGAGGCCGGGGAGCGCTGGTGCCAGGAATACATCTTTAAAGCCTGGTTAAGTGGAATATGTTTCAGATTGTGTAGGTGAATAGTGTTTAGAAATGAGAATTAACTATTGGTAATTTAAGGAAAGCTAATGCTTTGCGTTGGAAGGGATTATGTAAATCATTTACAATCTGGGGAGTGTGAGCTCTTTATAATTATTTTCCTGATCCAATTACTATTTTTCATTTTGTTGACGCTGTGTCTATTTTAAGTATCTATGACTTGTACGTGAATATACACCATAATTCATTAGTATTTACTTCTGGGATTGTAAGTAAATGGAAACAAGGCTGCATTTGTACATTTAAGATTTTTAGAAGGTGCGCTGCTCGGGTTAGAGATGTTCAGGCCTGTTTTTGGAGCAGCCCAGCCCTGCCTACTGTGTACAACAAAAATTACATTTTTTGCATCTACGTTAAAACACGTGTAAGAGAGTGAATGGAGATGCAGGATTTTTCCAATTTTGCTATTTTGACCTAAAGTTGAAATCCACTGCTCAGTTCCTAACAATTCAATTAAATTTTAGTGAATAACCCTCTTTGTGTTTTTTTAATGTTTTGGAATGCATGGAAGCAAGGCATGCCCTGTTCACGATCTGTATGTATGGATGGCTAGAGTTCTTTCATGCAAGGATAGATAGACAGACAGACAGATGGACAGACAGACACAGGCACACACAGAGACACCACATAATACTTAGAGATATGAAATACTGGACAAGTGTGGGTTAATATCAGAGTTGGGGTGGGCAAGTATCGATGTGTGTCTCTGGTGACTAATAAAGGCTGACAGACAGCCATGCCAGTCATAAACATATGCCTTAACGGATGCTGAAAGTGCAGGTAGGATAATCACAAGCTGACACTGTACTTTTCATGAAAATAGAAATTTGGATCAAAATCAGGACTGTCCCATCTTATCCAGGACTACTTGGAAGTATTAGCCAGTCAAACATGAGCTTAGTTATAACACATCTATTCAGGCAATGTGAATGCTTGTCTGGTTTGCCATCAATGAAAGCACTAAGGAGTAAGATCTTAATAATAAGTTCTCAAACTATTGACTACTTGCCTAAAAGGAAACACTGCCTGTAAGGCAATATTAGCCCTTTTGCTGTCAGAGTCGTGTATAATACTCCACCAAGAAATTAGTTGTTAGTCATGTAATACTAAATCTCCTATATTCTACTTACCTGTTCCTGCTTACACCACCTTCGTTGCCCCTGCTTTATTTCCCTCTCCTCTTTTCATCATACTTTTCTCATACATATCCACCCTTTCTCCACCAACTCCTTCTAAAGCCTCCAAATACAAGCTGTCACCTCAAACATTTCAATCTTACTTCCAACTTCTCTTTCTTCCTGTCCTTCTGCTCCTGGCAGCTGATTATATCTCTACAAATCATGGTCCCTCCTCCACTAACCTACCTTGTGCTAAGCACCAGAAGCCACACCAATCTTATCCCCTTAAGGACACAACTTCTGGAATAAAAGGGAATCATGACGGAATATTTCCATCATGTGTCCTTAAGGGGTTATACCCATCCCATGTAACACTCCTTTTCAGTCCTCCTTTGGCACTGTCCTCTGGAATGAAAGCTCTATGGCCAACATCACTAAATCAACTGCTGTCCATAACTTCTTCATCTCACGTTCCCTAAACTGAAACATGGCTCTCTCCCTCTGCACAACCCCAGACAGTCTGACAGTAAGGGTGGCAGGCTAGGTTTTATGCTTTCACCACACTGCTCCAATAAACCTCTACCACATCTCACCATTCCCGCTCTTTCTCCCTATTTGAAG